ATACAAGCAACCTTTCCCATAGCAACAGCTGAAACAAAGCTGCATCCCTATGATGCCTCCTCGCCTCCCCGACATCTCCATTACCCCGAACAGGCAAAAGAGCTGTAAGTTTTGGGCTAATTTGGAGCTGCTGCTGCCCAACAGCCACAGTTGGAGAGAAAGGGAAAGAAGGAACCTTCTTCCTTTCTCTTACTGAGTGCGTCCGCTTGAGTAGCTCTTCTCTGCTCAGCCACTGATTTTCATCACGTTTTGCAGAAGTTAATCTGAGATTTATCTCCTGCTCTGGATTTGTCTGAGCTGGAGGAATTCAGTTTATTAGAAAGGGACAGAGAGACGGATGGACAGACAGACAGGCTGCATGGTCCCAGCAGTTTCAGAAACCACACGAAAGTTGTAAGAATAAGTTCCCTGAAGAACTGAATACCGCCTCCTCCCCTGCCCTGAATACTGAAACAAAACACATTTGGACTTGATGCACAATTTGCACTGCCTCTGTTTTCCTTCCGATTGTGAGGACCCCATTCCAGACTGACCTCAATTTTCACCTAATTAGTAACCTACTTTGCTGTTCCTTTAGAACATTTTTAGCTAATTCCTGGGGATTTTGCCTTATTCTGGGCTGGGGTTTTGGGGGTTGTTGGGTTTTTTTGGTTTGCTTTTGTTTGTTTGTTTGTTTGTTTGTTTGTTTTCCAGAATTAAACAAACATTTCTTTAAGAAAGATGTTTCTCCTTTTGACGACAACACAACAATAGTAGTGATAATAAATAAATAAGTAAATCACACAACCCCCAAAATTTTAAAGATGTACTATAGAAATCCAGGCAATAGCGATGTACAAAGTGACCCTAAAATTCCCTGCATTAAAAATATCCTATCCATGTAGTAAGAGAAGAATAAATCAATACTTCCTGAAGTAGCAATTTGGTCTTCAGTAAAGAAACTGGGACCAAACCAGGAATTCCCAGTCCCTGGTTTTGCCCCACAGGCCTCCAGCAATCACTGAGGATACTGTAGTAACTGCAACTTCCTTCTGTTTCCCTTCAGCATCAGTGGAACAGGGAGAAAATTTATCCACAAGACAGAGTACAAAGCACACAATATAGACTGGTTAAAAAAAGTTTCTCCAGACCACAAAAATGGGTGCTTAGGTTCAATCAAATGCTGGGGTAATAAAATATTCCAAAGCAGACTTATTCGTTTTCATATATTTAATAGACCTGAGGCCATGTTTGGAGTTAGGTTATATTTATCTATGGGGAGGCACAGAAATAGTTGTCAGCAGGAGGAGCAGGAGTCAGTTTCTGTGCTCCCCCCCAGCTCTGCTGGGAGGCCAGTGGCTGGTTTGGCGTTACTGGTGTGGAGGGACGGGGCTGCAGCCCTCAGGGTGGCACTGGCACCTGAAGGGGACATGGGGAGAGAAGGGGTCCCACAGACCCAGGTCAGAAAAGCAGCCACCCAACTTGGTTTCTAATCCTATGAGCCATCTGAACAGTTATACAAGGAAGGTCCCAGGGGCAGCTCTGCCAGAGGAGAACTACAACTTAAATGCTGCTTGCTATCCTTGGGATGGAAAGAGCTTTTTTAAAAAATAAATTATGGATATTGTTTGCTACCGTGGTAAAGAATGCATTACTCAACCACCACCATGTCTCTTTTCAAGACGATCCATGATTTTATCCAGAGGGGTTTTTTTTTTGGAAAGCCTGTATTATGAATATTCCATCTCCATTTGGACACACAAGCCTAAAATTATGTTATTCGAGTCTTTTCATTTGGCTTAGATTGACAGGATTCCTCCGTGCATTTTTACATCTATTCATTCCAACAGTAAAAGCTTTAGGTTCAACTTTGCAGGAAGTTTCCTACACGCATCTGTACCCACAGCCCTACACAGAGCAGTTATGCAGAGATTTGGGACTGAAAATTCACATTACATCATTTGCCTGGTTTTCCTGCTGCCACAAGAGGCCAGTGATTATGTAATTTCCAGTACCCCTTGTTTCACCCCCACTGCACTGACATAGATCCACAGGCACATCTGCCAGACACCATCTGGAGGTTAAAAATCATAACTATAGATCAGCTTCCCAGACATCCTGAGACCTCTCAGACAGGAGCTGGGCACATATAAATATTAATGCAAGATCAAAACTCAATCATTTCTCCACTCAACATTCATGGCAGGTATCTCTGGCTACAAACTATGGCAGGAATGCCCCACAGACCTGCACTGCCAAAAGACTTGTTGTATGGCACGGGATATATTAGCAACACAACTCAGGGGTTTTATCCTCATTGCTGAATACCCTTGACACGTCAGACAGGTTATTTAGGAGAGGAGGTGAGAGAAAAGAGATCAGCTTTTGAATAGACACCTAAATAAATCACATTTTCAGAAACACTCAACACTTAGCATCTCCCATTGTCACTTCTGGACAGTGAATAAGAACTCCATTCCCACCCCACAGTGAGCAGGAAGCTGGTTTAGCCACTAGCCCTCATAAAGCTCAGGATATCCACGAAGATGCCGTATCACCCTGTAAAAGGATCAGTTTTAAAAAGATTTTTGCACTCTCTAAACACTAGAGCTAGCTAGCTATAGTGAGGGGTTTGCTACAGCAAGAGGAACCAAAAAGCGTCCTAGGAGAGAGCTAATCATCCTCTGAAGCTGCTTCAGAAAAATACCCTGGGGAGGAACACTGCATAAGCACAAAGAGAAGCATTAAATTTTTAATAGCATGAGTTCAGGCTGAATAAAGCAGGCCTCCCAAATACATGGTGATAAAACATTTACACTGCACCACTGTGTTTTCTTCCAAAATCAGGAAAGCATTTAGAAGAGATGTGTCACTAGAAAATTCAGCACTGCTACATGATGTGGAAGCTCCCTGAGAGTCTTCAACATTTTCTGACCCATTCTTCTCTTACAGGAACGAAAGAAATACCGACAAAGCAAGAGGTGAGCAAAACTTGACAGGGGAGGCGTCAGATACAGGCAAGGTAAAGGAAAGGGAAGAGTATTTGTAATGCATTTGTCTGCTGCCAGTATCAGGATGTATCTCATCTTTCCGTTTCTTCCCACTCCTCAGCAAAGTGGAGGTAGCACTATATAAATATTCAGTCACTAACCCAGCTCCCGAGGGCTGCACAGCACTGTCTGCCAGCACACTGGCAGTGTTCCTCTGCCGCCTTCATTGCAACCACTCTGCCTGTGCCCATCACTCACAGCAAGCTTTTTCCTGCACAGGAGAAAGATGTGGTCCTTGAGGAACCAAAATTAGGTGATTTGTAAGTATGTTTCTAAATTAGCAAGCAAATTTTAAAAAGAACCTCTATTTTTTTTCCATCCTGAACAAGCATGTTATCTGAACTGTTATGACCTTAGTTCTCCAGTGTGTTATTTACCGGCTATCAAGAGCTGAGACTCTTGAAACTCAGTTAATAAAAGAGCATTAAGACCACATTCCAAGAAAGGATTTAAGTGACCATTTCCTTTAGTTTCAAAGAGAACATTCAGCCTCTTAGCTGTACACATCTATTTAGTGAGCAGGAAATGGAGTGGTGTTGGTATGCTCCGTGGCTACATGACAACAAATGCCTTGGAGTCAATAATGTCTGAAAATCACACAAACCACAAACCAATTTAATATAGCTGATCTTGACACAGCACAGAATCATTGGATTTTAAGGCAGCTGCCCTGGAGCTTGTTTGTTTGAATGAATGGGTTCTTAATGGTATTTTCTGCACAAGGTTTTAATGGGGAGCTTCTAAGCCCAATAAAGGTTACATGTTCACTGAGGTCTCCTTGGCTGTTACCACACTCTTCACAGCTAAATACACCTTACATGGGCAAAATGGCAGCAAAATGTAAGCTTTCATGCTCAAAACATATTTTACATCATGAAAAAGAAAACTGCACTGATTTTGTTGATGAGGATAAGAAGGTGAACTGGGCACTCTCTAGCCCCGATTCCTCCTAACCTTACCCTGAATAACCATTTAGGTCTATGCAAAGGGAAAACAAAGAGCTGTAAATTAGTTTCTGGATTAAAATAGCTATGGATTCCATGTTGTACAAGTGGCACCTGAGCCCTTCAAGTCTGCGATTGACTTACCCCACCCTTCGCATGTGTAAATACAACTGAAAAAAATCACAGTAACATTTGCTTCCCAGTCCTGGGCGGGCCATCACACACAGATAAACCAGGAACTCCAAGCTGGACTGTAGTCTTACAAAAAATATATAACACAACAGATCTGCTGTGGTACAACTAGTTCCAAGAAGAAGCAGATGTACCTTGTGATAATAATTTATTCTAACATTTCTTGAAGGGAAGAGCTGGGGAGAGATATTGATATGTATGGCAGGTACTGACTGATATTTAAAGCCTTTGGCATTACCATATGTGCCTGGAAATAACTGCCAGTGCTATTAGTTGCTGTCACTGATGACAGCATGTAAATGACTATCTAATCTGCATATACAATCAAATAATTAGACGTCATGTGTAAGAGCGGTTATTTATAGGTGCAGAATCAGAAAAAAATTAAGCCCCATCTTCATAACATATCATCTCACAAATCAGATCCTCCTGAACATAGGTACAGATCATTACTGAGTGCCCCATCTTAGGTCAAAAAAAAATATTTAAAAAATCACAATTAATATTTCATACTACTGATTGTCCCCTGTGATGCACTGAATCAGTAATGTCTGCATCTAGCCTGCTGGCAGGAAGCTATAGCTGCCATCCACAAAATGTCTGTCAACTTTCAAAGCTCATTATGAACAAAACAAGCCAGGAAAAAAAACCTGCCCTGCTGAAGGCCTGTCCACTGTGTTCAGTGAAGGCTTGATCTGTTCCTATGAACAGCTGACCTAGATTCTCTGCCTGAATGAGAGCATTTCTCAGCATCGAGGCTGTTTGGAGAATGATAAATTCATGTATTGCTTATCACGAGAAGGGGGGGGAAAAAAGAAAGAGGATATAATCTTATGGGAAAGCAATGGCATCCATTAGTCATAGAAGAGGTTTATCCATATCTGCACAAAGCTCTCCTCGACACGCTTCTGCTCTCAGTTCAGAGTCTGGAAAGGACTGCAGCCCTCATTTCAGCACACACAGCAGGCCGGGCAGCCACGGCTCCAGGGAGAGGCCGGGGTGTGCCAAAGCCGCGGAGGGCACGGCCCCAGGGCCGCCCGCGGCCTGCCAGCGGCTCCTGCCCCGGGGCCGCCGGCAGCCGGGCCGCGCGGGACCGAGGACTGCTGGGTCACACCGTGCCACGAGGAAAGGAGCCAGCAAGGTCTGGCCAGCCCCACGCTGCCGGGTCACGATGGGATCCAGCTGCAGACGCAGCGCCCATCCATCGCCCCCGGGAAGCTCGGGAGGCCCTCACGAGGCAATGCCGTGTCCCGCTGGTGAACCGCACAGGGCACTTCTCCACCTGCCAGTTCTCCAAGAGCTGGGAAGCGCATCCTGTGGTAGTCAATAACGTAATGATGGTGATGTGTGGCTCGGGGGGACAAAAAGGCCGGTTAGCCCCGGAGTAAGGATCTCCAAGTCATTTTCTTCCTGCCTCTGGTACCGATCCATTTTGTCTACAATCATATTCCTCATCTCCCCGAGTTCCTAGCGGGCACCTCCATAAGCCAGGCCCAGTAACCTTTCATATTAACCAACACTCACCAGACCACCGATGTGGGGACCCTGAGGGTGTCCACTGCTGTGAGGGATGCCAGCTTGATGCTGGCCCTTGATGGCTGCTCTCACTGCTCTCACCTGAGCAGCATCCCCTCGGGAGGCACGAGAAGGAGCTGGCAGGCAGGGGCTACTGCAAGACACTCTCATGTCCCCCAGGGTACAGCTCCCACCCCAGGGCTACGCTGCAGTGCTGGCTGCAGGGACAAGAACAGAAGCACAGACCAAGTCCCCGGGGTGGGCAGGAGCTGGGCAGCCAAGGGAGGTTTTCTTCAATACCAGAATGTTTTGATCTGCCTCACAGATGGAGACAAAAAGCTAAATTCACATACCTAGATTCAGGTCCTCTGATCACAGAGATATTCTGCCTTTTTTGCAGACATGAACATCCCGGACTGAGTCTACAGACGAGGACTGCTGTTCACGCAGACCCTCACTGCCTGCACCGCACAGGCGCAACCCACGCGTCCAGCCCACGCAGAGCGCAAGCGACTGCTGTGGTCCACACTGCCAGCGAGCATCCCCCCTTCCCCCCTGCTCTGAAACCTCCAGAGGGGCTGCCGTGAGCAGAATATAAGATCTAATTAACCACCTCTCAATTCAGATCTGGTTCAGCAAATGCAAGTACCGCATCAGGCAACTGGGTTTTCCTCACCAACTTATTTTTTGCATGTGGGCAACATGCAAACTAGGTCAATATTATTCCTACCAAAACACTCACTGTGGGTGTTATTTTTAGAAAACCATGTGATTGTCTGACTTTTATTTATGAGAGCACAGAAAGATCCGCTGTATATTTTCCTGTCTGTCTTGTTTGGGGTGCTTTGTTTTTTTAGTTCTTTGGGTGGGTTACTGAGATCTCAGGCCTCTTTTTAAAAGGCAGTCAGACTCAATCAGGAGACCTTGCAGGTCGCATGCCTTGGCAGTCAGCGAAACAAAGCACATGCAGCAGTGAGCAAACCAAACCAGACAAGAGCACGGAGAGGATGTGAAAAGGCAAGACAGTGACGCGGGTAACAAGGGACAAGGATACGAAGCACAAAAGATGACAGGGTTTTATGGGTGGTGGAGAATCAAGCAGAGTTTGCAGGATGATCAAAAACACTGCACTTAGATCTTCACCACTCCTGAAAGGGTAAACCCCAGATCTCACCAGGCAGACAAAAGTCAGCAGGAGAGCCAAGTTCAGCAGCGGAAAACTTGTCCAGAGTCAAGTTTATTTTCTGAGACCTCTTCTTACCTCCTTGGCACAAACAAAACAACTCAAGGCAACAAAATCCTGTACCAGCTTTTCATTCATCGGATTAGTAACAACCGTGACAGATATCTGTTAGACAACCAAGTCAGGGTGGATCCCCTCAAGGGGAGAGGGCCTCTGCGGCTGAGACCTAGCAGCGACCATCTGTGTCCAGGTCTCTACCTGCCTGGTTTTCCTCTGGCCCATCTGGAGAATCGAGTCTTTGCCCAGTGCGTGAGTTAACAGGCAATTCAAGTTCTGGGGATGTGAGTCCTTTTGCTAACCTTGCAGAGCCACTGTGAAGAAGTCTACATCTCTGCTGATAATCCAGACTGCTTTTATAACCAGAAAAAAGGTACAGACATTGGCAGTGGCCTTCTCAGGCGAATGCAGACATCTAAAATAGGCCAGACAAGCAGCATACCAGCACTGCCTAATTCTCTCCATCAACAACAGAAGGAATTCAGAATGTGTAGCTCAGACGTCAATGTATGTATTTCAGAGCAGATGAACCACAGCCTAAATTTCCAGAAATTAACCACCACAAAGTGTCAGAAACTCGTCTCCAGGCCCACAGGTATTCTGAATTTCTACTCACATGAAAAAATTCAGATGTATATGATCTGCAAGGGCACAGGGTCAGCTGTATGGCTGATGAGTCATGTGCCTTTATGGGCTGCCCATCTGGCAACAGCCCCAGCAAAAGTTGCTTGCTGGGGCAAGTGATCTCGGCAGGAGGGGAGCCCTGCATGGGAATTCTGCTCGTCTACCTCCCCAGAACACCACAACGAGCCCAGGGCTTCTGCACAGCTGGGAGACACTGCTGGTTCTCGGCTTCAAAACTGTGCAGGCAACATCGGATTTCGCTGCTGAAATGGTGAAGCATGGGGACAGGCTGCTCCTGCCACGGGGGAAAGGGAAGGGGTTGAGCTGGCTGGGAGGGCCTGGTGCTTACTGACACCTTCTCTGCCTCTGCCCAGGAACTGCTGCCCCAGGAACTGGAGCCCTTTTGGGGTCCCAATTGCCTCTTTGGCAATCCACCAACATGCTGCATACACTCAAATTCAGAAAAGCTGTTCTCATCTGTCCTTTGTAATTGATCTCCAGCCCTGGAGCTCCCATCCCAGGCAGCCTGCCTCCCTGAACTAACTGTTGGTACCGGATAGGTGACTTCCTCCAAAAAGAAACAAGAACTTCAAAAGAAACAACATAAGCACAGACAAAGACAACTGGACCAGATCCAACGCAACTTCCAAGCTACAAATAACATTTATTTCTCCAGAAAAGACCATGCTGACACAGAACATTAGGTACGCACTATAGATAAAGCTACACAAACTATGTCCTCCACGCAGGGCAGGGAACTGTAGATTTTCCTGCAAACAGAAACAGCACAAATGAAAGGGGAAAGGTGAAGCCCTCTTACATGGGGCACAGCATGAGAAATCAGCTCTGTGTTTCATGGGCAGTGAGTGAGAATCATATGCAGGGGTGCTCAGGGGTGTTTTAAGAACATGGGACATACCGTGCAAACTTGCTGGAATGGCCTGGGTGATAGAAGCTGGCTGGAGGGTTAGCCATGCATCACCACGTCATCATCTAATGCCACTATACCACATGATTCTAATATTGCTCCCAAGAAAACCAGTGGTTTGGACTAAACATCACGAAGACAAATTCTTATAATCCAAACTTGCCATTTTTTTTTTTCCATCCCTCACATAAGACTCACACGTGGGTCACTTCTGCTACCTATCACCTGCAACACATCACATCTGATGCTGAACTGAATTTTCTGTAACTATACTTTTCTGGGATCAATTAATAAAAAAATGAAATATACTTTATCGGTCACTGACACATCCATTCTCTATCTTATTGTTAAAATCAGCACATTAATACTGCCTTGAAAAAGAATCAAAGGCAGTAATTATTCACTGCACTCATTAGCAGCAAAAACTATTTTCCAGCCATTTCAGTTACCCTCCTGAAATTATGCAGTTAGTTGTTGGTGCCAGATTCCCATTTATTTCAAGAGCCTTTTGTAACAACAACAATAGCTTCTTCTTCATTTATCAGGCTTCCCATAAGAGGAAGAACTCATGTTACAAAAGAGGGGCCACATAATCATGCCGTACTAGCTCAAGGTACATGGGACTTTCACAAGAAATTTCAGTATACACAAAACCCAGGAGAGTTCTGAGCAGCCCAAGGAAAACAGTCTCATCTCTGTAACAAAAGAAGTACTAATGAGTGCAGGACAATAGGCACAGGAGGGCAGGCAAACAAAAAGCAGAAGGAGAAGTGTTATAGGAGCCAGGTTATCAGCTGACCCGTAACAAGAGAGCTGGCGCAGGTCTGCTCTATTGCCCACATGCACCATGCACCCTGTCACTGAGGCTCAGGGAGCCACCCCAAAGCTGAAGCTATTGCAGAGGTGAGAAATGCAACTCCTCTGTTCCTGCTAATCAGAAAGCATGAGCCCCCTCCTCCTCTAACCAAAGTGATGTCCCCCCTCACTGCTTTGTTTCCTACCAGGCAACATGCATGCATCATTCCAGTGCAAAGCTGCTGTGAGAGCAGATTCAGGGACAAGACAGTCCTGAATTCCCTCATTCTTCAAACATCTTTGTTTCATTTTGGTTTTTACAAGCACAAAATGATGACTTTGTGTCTTTTTCAGGGGGGCTAATGTTTTATTTAAGATGGCCTGCCAGCACCATGAATTTTACATGACGGAAGCTCCGTCCCACAACACCCTTAAACCTCTCCTCCTTAGTCAGCAGCAATCATCCTGCAGCCGGGAGCCCTGGCATGGGGGGCTGACTCACACTGTTCACAAGCATACCCCTTCTCCCCACCGACCACCACTGAAACACAGCCTGCCCTGAAGCACCGCCTTAGAGACCTTCCCAGAAGACAGATCTGCTGCATCAGCTCCCCCTCCCAATGCTTCCCACAAGAAATGCCCCCCCCACGCAGGCTGTTTGGAGATACACAGATGTGAGCAGAGGGTGGGCAGGTCTACGAGAACACCCTATCTGCTGCAAGGCCTCTGGAGGTCGCAGATAAGCAAACACGAGCAAGGCCAACGCTAAGGACATAGATACAGAAGCATAAACAAGACAG